CTGGAGGGTGCCCAAGTAGGGGACTTCCGCCTCCAGTCCATTCCGGACCTGCAGCCCTGCTGCTTTAATGGTGAACACAGCCCTTTTCACTTTCTCCATCCAGAAACCCTGTTGACCCTTCATCTCAAGCGTGGGAGCAAAGGGCAGAGTAGCCAGTAAGAGAGTAATGTCTGCCCCTGGACGCCCAAGTCCAGCACCTGACTCTGTATCTTGGATGAGTGACTTAACCTGCGGAAGCCTTGGTTTCCTCATCTGCAGAGTGGAGCCAGTGATAGGATCCACCTGAAAGTGCTGGAGCCTCAAATGGGAGGAAATGCAAGAGGTGCGCATAGGAAGCCTTCTGCTATGCAGTGGCACAGTCGTATCCAACACTGCAATCCCATGGACAGCAGAGCGCCAGGCCTCCGTGTCCACGTGTCCATCACCATCTCCTGGAGCTTACTCAAACTGTTGTCCATTGAGACGGTGATGCCATCCAACCACCTCACCCTCTGTCACCACCCTTCTCCTGCTCTCAATCTTTCTCAGCATCAGGTAAGGAAGGGCCCATTAAATGACAAATGTTAGTACGGTTACAACTGTTAGGATCTTCATGTGGGGCACTGAGGGCCCAGACAAGGGGCACCCAATAACACACACCAGGAAACTGAGTTGGGAAACCCCTCTACTCTAGGCACAGAGTCAGGCCCCGCTCACTGCTAGCCCCACTTTGTGCCTCCTATGATACAGCCTCCGCGTTGGGCAGACATGGCTCCATCACAAATAAGATGCATTTCCAGGCATCCAGGGGAGGCTTTAAAACGGCTGACTAGACACAGGCCAGCCGGGAGCCCTCCCACGTCGCGTGGCTGTGTGACTTTCTCTGGGCTGCTTTCTCAGCTCTAAGATGAGGGGGCAGAACTAGATGGTTCGACCACCGTCTGTGACCAGAGAACAATCCATTTCAACCCCAGACCCTCACCCCCTCTCCCTCCACACCTCCCAGCCCCCAGCACACTTGGACACGCTGGCACTTCTTCAATGAGGTCCATTGCTGCCTGAGGTCAGAGCAAGAGATGGCAAGTTGCTGGAAATGTTTAAGTCATGGAAACAAAAGTTTCACGGCAGAGGGTGGAACGTGAGCAGTTTTCAATGAGTACTTTTAAGACCCCGTACAGGCCTGGAGTCCTTTTGATTCGTCTAGAAACAAAAACATATGTGTGTCTCAGGTTTGCCTGATTCAGACGTGGGCGGGCCTGGAGGAAAAAAATGGCTTCCCCCTGCCGGATTTTCTGATTTGTTGGGAAAAGCCAAAAGGTTCTTCAGAACAAAAAGACAGTCCTCGCCCCTCAGTCCCCAGCCTCCCGCCCCCCTTCCTGTTCTTTTCTTTCTCCTTGGCCTTTCTTCCCTGCTTGGAGGGGGTGTCTGTGGGCCCGGGCGGAGGTCTCCAGCGCTCAGGCATCCCGCCCTGACCGCAGCCTGAGCCTCGCCCGGCAGCTGGACACAACTGCTTCCAGATGTGTGCAGGCCAGAAACTGCGCTGGCAGCCAGGCTGAGAGCCGAGCAGTGAGGACTCTGCCCAGGCCCTCGGGCTCCCAGGCCCCACCACCCACCTCCAGAGACATTCCTCTCCACCCACGACAGGAAAGAACCACTGATCCGGGTACTGATCCCCGGCTCTGCTGCGCTGGCCTGAGCGCTCATACTCCATCCCACCCAAACTCAGGAGCCGTCACTTGCCCAGGTTTCCAGATAAGCCCAATGAGCTCAGAAAGGGGCTCGGAAGTCACAGAGCCAGAGGGGAAAGGCGGGTCTGAGATTCCACTGTCCGGCCCCGGCCTCCTCTGGCTCCTGGGCACATGTGCTGCAGACAGAGGTTTGGGTGGGCAGCCGCAGCTGGGGTGGGCAGGTCCCTCCACTGTGCACAGGCCGAACCCTGGCAGAGGGAGGTCAGGAGCTGCCACCCAGACGGACACAACTCACACAACCGCACACTGGCGCCTGCAGGCCTCCACCCGCTCCTGCTTCCCGTCCCTCCTGCCGCTGCCTCTTTGCTATAAGGGACTCCAGGCCTTTCTGGAAGTGGTCAGCACACACATGATGACTACTGTAGCGTCTCCGTGTCCCCAGGCAGCACATACATGGAGACACACACGCAGGAAGTACACACACACACACACACACACACAGTCTCATTCCCCTGCAGGGTCGGTCTCTTGACAGGCCTTGGGACAGGTCAGCCCCCTGGGGGACAAGGGGCTGCTTCTGTTACTTCTCTCTGCCAGCCCCCCAGAAGACACCCTGACATCAGTCCTGAGTTGGAGCAAAGGGAGGGAATTTAAAGAAAGAGCCAGAAAAGAACAAAAGGAAGAGGAAAAAAAGAGAAGGGAGGGAGGGAGACAGGAGGAAGGGGGAGAGGGAGTGCTGAAGCCGGCACCCTTGAGCCCCAGAGAGTGTGCAAGGTGTGCATTTCAGGTCTGGAACCAGACAGACGCCGAATCAGATTTCTATCAGCTATGTGATTTTATGCAAGTTACTAAACATCCCTGAGCCTCAGTCTCATTTTTTTGGAAAGTGGGGATAACAGGAGCTGTGTCAGTGAGAAGCACAGAACAGCTCTGGGCACGTGGAAGGGCCCGAGGAGAGACTGACCAGGGTTCTGGAGGCCCAGGTAACTGCACACATCCCGTGCCCGGCACGTTGACTGCTGCTGTTTCTAATTGTGCCGTCATCTGCACCACACGCCAGGCTCGGCTCCAGGTGCCTTTGTAACCATTACTCACCTGACCCTCCAACAGCCTTGCAGGGGCTAGTCACCCCCATCCTGCAGACGGGGGAGGCAGGGCTCGTGAGGCTGAAGAGTCATCTCCTCAAGAGCACACAGCTGGCGAGTGGCGAAGCCAGGATGTAAGAGGGTCTCTGGAGCCTGTGTCTGTTGCATGGCATCACTACGGGGGGTGAGATGAGGTTTAAATTTAATTGTGCTTTTTCAAAATTAAAGTAAATGAGGGGAGAATTTAATAATTAACATTTACTGAGCATACTGCATACCAGGATCTGTGTGGACTGTTTTTGTCTTTGAATCCTCACAATGAACTCATAAAATAAGTGTTAATACCCTAGTTTTTCTAATGAAGGGACTGGAACAAACCATGGCTAAGCAATTTGCCCACAGTCACCAGCCGGTAAGTGATGGACCCTGATTCAAGTACGGGCAGTGTCCCCAGAGACATGCTTTTACCTACTCAGCTGGGGACAGATCAATCTCGTAGAGCGATATGAAAACAGCCTCTAAGATAGATTTTTTAAATTATTTTTTTAAGTCAAAAGCAAGGGGCAGAACAGGCTGGCTCATGCGCTCTGTGTCACAGAGAAGATGTAGGCACATGTATGCTTTAACATGCCCAGAGCATCCAGGGAGAGGAACTGGGAGGATGGGGTCAGGATGAGGGGAGAGACATGCTCTCTGTACCCTCTATAGATGCCTCTGAAAGTATGAGTGTGTAAGCCCCCTGTTCAGAAAAAAAATCATTGTCATTACGCTGCCAGCTTTATGGAAACGTGGTATTAGCACATACTTCAAGGGGGCTAGCCCTCCAGGTTCCTCTGTCCATGGGATGTTTTAAGCAAGAATACTGGAGTAGGTTGCCACTTCCTCCTCTAGGAGGTCCCTGCCCCTCATGGAGGCCCCTCCACTTCCTCCCTAAAGATGAGCAGTAAAAGAGCAGCACCATGTTCAGGTCTGGGTCCACAGCCATGGCCCCAGGGGCTCTCACTGTTTCCTCTGCTCCAGGCCCAGGACTTGGATTACAGAGGGAGGCCTGCAGACCCATGTGACCTGCCACCCTCCAGCTGGAGAAAAGACCTTCTCATCCTGGAGAGTGCTCTAGAACTTCCTACAGCTCACTACTGCCTCCACGAGGCAGGTGGGCAGTGGAAAGTCCTCTGACCTGGATGACAGGGCTCCTGGCCCAGACTGCCTGCCCTCACTGCTGCCCTTGGCAGGACTAGTTTCTGGATCGAGATCAGCTTCCCTGTCAATAGAGCAATGGGAGCTTGGAATAAAAGGTCCCTCCTGGCTCAAAAAACATGAAGACCCAAGGGCTCCAGTGTCCTCTGCCCGTCCCAGGCCCCCACAAGCTGCCCTCCCACTGCCAAACCACAGGGCTTTTCTCCTCACAGGCCCCTTCCTCCCACCCAGCCTTGCACTCCACATCACCTATTGGGGAGGGGGCGGGTCCACACAGACTCAAGCACCTAGCAGTCTCTCATACAGCTCTGGTTACAAATAGTCTCGAATGTATTTAGCCTAACACCTCAAAGGTAAATCTTCACACCCAGGTCAGGGGTCCATACTCTTCCAGTGCCCACAGAGGCCTTCAGAGCAGGAGCTCTCAACGTTTAGCATCTCCCGGCGCTTGTTCAAAATGCACATTCAGGGACCACCTCGGAGGGCCGGTTTCAACGAGCACTTGGAGTGGGGCCCCAAACGTGCCCACTTTAACACTCCCCGAGTCCGATGCAGGGGGTAGGTGGGCTTCAGGACAGCCCCATCCTCAGAAGCCTAAGGTTTTGTCCCCTCTTGGGGGGTGGTGGGGACACCAAGAAAGGGCAGGCTAGGGCGAGGGGGTGGAAGTGACGAGTTCAGGTCTGGACGCATCGAATTAAAGGTGCCTATGAAGGTGCCCAGGTCTGGCGGCCGCAGGATCGATGCTCCAGGGCAGGGAAGAGCATCCACCCCAGCAGAGAAGAGACCCGGGATCAAACGCAGTCTTCTGCTGAACCCGAGCAAGAGAGAGAGAGACGAGTGAGGGAAGAAGGCTGCGGGGAGCAAGGAAAGATCGCTAGCTCTGAGGGGGCAAACGAAGGGGCCTGGATCTGTGGGCACCGAGTTCCAGGGTCCGTGACCTTAAGAACTCAAACCAGAAACCAGCAGGCGTGGGACGGAGGTGTGGCCGACAAGGGGGAGGGGATGGTGGGCGCGGAGCCACTTCGCAGATGAGCAAACTGCGGGTAGGGCGTTAGGTCTCAGCGGGCTGTGGGGGCTGGGGCTCGGGGCTGAAGCGGAGCCCAGGCTGAGCGGCGTAGGCGGGCGGCTCGTGGGAGCGCGGCCGCGGCTCTGCCCGGATGCGCGGCTCGCTGGGCCGGGCCAGACGGGGCCGCGAGCGGGCGGTCGCGTGGCCACAGCGCCCCCTGGCGGCCCACGGAGCCCTAGCGTGCAGCGGGCAAGTCCCCGCGCCCGTGGTGGGGGCTGAAGGTCTCTGGCGGGGCTTCCCGGTACCCCAACCCCACCCCGCGAGCCCCGAAACGGCCGCCATTAAGTCCCAGGCAAAGTCCCCCCCCCCCGTCTATATATTTAAAAGGAGACAGCACATTCCCGCTGCCGTCACACACACACCCCTCCAAAGGGGATGGATGTTTCTCTTGTTGAGATTTTTACCTCTTCTCCCAAAGAGTGGTACCCAAATGCAGAATCCCACATTCCAGTGTGAACCCTGTCCTCACCGGACCTTACTTTAAATTCAGGTAGTGGAGAATATGTCTGAGGGCTCCCCTTTTCTGTGCTGAGTTTAAGGTCCTAAAAGGACAGAAGCCACCTCCTGCCCTGTATCATCCTAGTAACAACTAACAGGCAACACTTGCTCACTGCCGGGCTTTTACAAACACCTTGTGGGCATAAATCCTCACATCAGCCTACTATTACCCCATATGAGTGAGGGACTCGAGGCACAAAGAGGTTTAGGTACTTGCCCAAAGTCAAGGGGAATATAGGATTTTAATTCAGGCCATCTTGATTCCAAAAGAGAAAAAGGGATAAAAAGAACCGGTGGGGGGGGGGGCGGGGGATGAGGGGGAAGAAAAAGAAAGTTCACTTCTGAGACAAGGCAGTACTGGGGTGCCAGGGCCTCTATTTTGTATGAAGATCCAGGACGCCTCACCGCAAGTTCTCTGGCATCCAGAGTCTGGTGATGAGCGTGTCCTGAATACAGTGAACTGCCCAGGCCAAGGCTTGGGCAGCAAGGTGGAGGGATGGTGAGGGAAGGGAAGGGAAGGGAAGGGATGGGGAGGGAGGGAGAGGAGTTCCTCCTCACCCCAACCTGCCCACCCAGGCCTGGGTGTGTGCAGCTCTGCTGGCCTGGGGGTGGTCCACCAGGATGGAGAAGGAAAGAGGCTTCCAGGAAGAACAGAGCATGGAGGATGTGCCTGTCAGAATGATTTCTCCAAGCCTCGTCAGCACCTGCGGCACAACTGCTCACTGCACCTTCACCTTCAGCTGTGGTCCTCCTTATTCCGGCCCACCCACCCACCCTGCCTGAGATGCAAAAACAGAAGCCTCGCGAGGCACCTGACTTCTCTGTCTGGCCTCTGGCACAAGAAAGCTGGGCTCTGCGTCTTCTCGGGCTTTTTCCTCCCCAGCTGAGGTCTGGAATCTCTACAAGTTTCCCAGTCAATCTGTTAAAAACCCACCCAGGTCTTTGCATGCCTCTCCCCCCACCACTCGTGTGCTGCCAGCAGGCTACAGAGCTGAGCCCAGTGCAGTGGACGGGCCAGTGGGAGAGGAAAGAACTGCAGCAAGAAACAGGGGCCACTGCAAGTCTGGGCTCCTGGGCTTAACCAGAATCCTTTTTGAGGTGGAAAGGGAAACAAAGAATCCAGTTTCCTGATCCTGGGTGAGTGCTATTGGAAAGCAGGCAAGGCCACCACTGTGCCAACTGGGCCCACAACCCCAAGGACCCAGAGAGGGGTGAATCTTGGGGAAATCTTGAAAGGAAGCAAATAAGAGGGAAGGGACTTCCCTGGTGATCCAGTGGTTAAGAATCTGCCTTCCAATGCAGGTGACATGGGTTTGATCCCTGGTCAGGGAAGTAAGATTCCACATGCCAAGCAACTGAGCCCACATGCCACAACTACTGAGCCCACAGCCGCAGTGAAAGGTCGGGCTTGCTGCAAGGAAGATCCTGTGTGGAGCAACTAAGAGCTACACACACTGCATGCTAAGTCACTCAGTCGTGTCTGACTCTTGGCAACCCTATGGACCGTAGCCCACCAGGCTCCTCTGTCCATGGGATTTCCCAGGCAAGAATACTGGAGTGGGTTGCCTTGGGGATCTTCTCGACCCAGGGATCGAACCCACATCTCTTACATCTCTTGCATTGGCAGGCGGGTTCTTTACCATTTGTGCAACCTGGGAAGCCCATAAGACCCGAGGCAGCCAAAAATAAACAACTATTTAAAAAGAAAACAAGTGAGGAGGGTATACCATTTACACATACCAGCCTGATTATCCCCTGCTGTTACCACTACCCTGGAGAAAGAAAGCAAACCGAACAGCTTGCTGAAACAAACTACCTGAGTCTCTCTGCCCTCCAATCTGATGGGATCTCACCCACCAATTCCCTGGAATACCCCAGAACTGAAACGCAAATGTGTCCACACTCAGATATACTCTCCCCTTGGTTGTAAATGGATAGACCTTGATGAAAGGCATGCTGGCATCTTGGTTCTGTGGGTTCGTGGGGACAGGAAGAGTGTGGAACCAGCAAGAATAGGGACCTGGGGGACTGCTAGATGTCCTCCTAAAACAGGCCATGCTCCTCCCACCAACCTCAGGGCCTAGCCCAGACTGCTGTCTCCTCACCCCTTTCACCCACTAAATGACGAGTCTTTCTTCAGCTGCAGGAAAATGTCTCTTTCTCAAGGAAGCATTCCTGGTGCGTGTCTGCCCTGAATCGAGTGCAAAGTGTCAGGGCAGCGGGACTCAGGTACTTTAAGTGGGGCTCCCAGAAGGCACAACCCCAGGCAGGACTGGGGTGCAGGCGGTGTACTGGGGAGAAGTTCCCAGGGTGCAGCAGTGAGGGAATAGGGAGAGCGACACAGGGAAGAGGAAAAGAGCATTAAAAGATGCCTGTGGGCAACACGGGGGCCTCCGGAAACAGTGAGAAAGCTCCAGAACTGCCTCCACCCCCACCCGCCATGGACAGGAGCTGGAGCTTTTATCCACCAGCTCCCAGCCCCCTGGGTTGAGAGTTGCCCCAGGGGTCAGGGAGATTAAGGCCCTGTATTGACTAGAGTTTCTAATTTTCTGTATTCTTGGTGCTCTGGGATTTGAGGCCTGGACCCTGGAGACACTGGCCTCCCAGAGCTGGCTAATTCCTGTAAATCGCTCATACAAACCAACCAATCGAGTGCACATCCCTAGGCTCTCACACTCCATGCAGTCTTCCCCCTGCCCTAAACCATCCCAGGGTCAAGCACAGCACCTCTGGGGACCAGCCTCCAGCCCAGAGCTCAAAGCCCGCCCAAACTGTCCAAGTCTAAACTAGCTCAGCCGACCTAGCCTGCCTCTCTCCTTCCTTCCTGTGAAATCCAAAATAAAACTCCAGGCATGGCCTGCCCTCTCCCTCTTCTGTCTCCTGAACCACCCTGGTCCTCCCCCATGTGACCCTGTTTCAAGGGACCTGTGGGTGTAAACCTCTTCCTTCATGACAGTCGTTTCCGTGTCTTACAGACCTGATGAAAGCATATCCCGGGGACATGTTCACACTGCCAGTTGAGGTGCCCCACGACATTGGGGACAGCCTGAGACAGCAAATGAGCAGGACCTGGAACCCATGATGTGGCCGCCGTAAGAGCAAGGTGAGGCTGAACTGCGCAAACTGGCCACCAGCCGCCGAGCTCAGGCTGAAAGGGGAGCTGGCCCAGGAACGAGGGGAGCAGGGTGCAAGAAGCAAGGGGCCTCCCCTGTGCTGTTCACTTGTTTTTCTCACCACTGACCACCACCGCCCCCCAACCCAGGGCCTAGCACCATGCTAGCAGCGTGTAGGGACCAAACTACCTCCTGAATTAATGAATCAGTGAGTGACTGAATGAATGAACATCGTTAAGACTGATCCTCCAAAGAGAGTAACTAACAGTCCAGTATAAGACATTCAAAGAGTCCCAGTCAGGGCATCATATAATACAATCAACAGTGTGAAAAGGCAGCCAACATGATGAGAGAAAATATTTGCAAATCTTTTATCTGTTTAGAGGTCCACATCTAGAATATATCAAGAACCCTTACAACTCAACAATAAAAAAATCAAATAACTTGATTTTAAAATGGCCAAAGAACTTGAATAGACATTTCTCCAAACATGAAATACAACTTGCCAACAAGCATGTGAAAAGATGCTCAACATTAGTCATCCTTATATAAATGCAAATCAAAAATCACAGTATCACCTTCATACCCATTAAGATGGCTACTATCAAAAAAACCCAGAAAATATCAAGTGTTGGCAAGGATTCTGAAAAATGAGAACCCTTGGGCACTGTAGGTGGGACTTTAAAGTGGTACAATCACTATGGAAAACAGTATGACAGTTCCTCAAAAAATAAAAATAGAATTACCATGATCCAGAAATCTCACTTGGGGGTAAATATCCAAAAGAATTGAAAGAAAGATCTTGAAGAGATATGTTCATTGCAGCATTATTCATAGAAGCAAATGGTTGGAAGCAACCCAAATGTCTGTTGACAGATGAATGGATTTTTTTAAATGTGATATAAATTCACACACACACACACACACACACACACACACACACACGAATATTCTTCAGACTTAAAAAGGCAGGAAATCCTGTCACATCCTCCAACCTGAAATTATGCTAAGTGAAATAAGCCAGTTGAAAAAAGATAAATGCTGTATGATTCCACTTATATGAAGTACCTAAGTAGTTAAATTCAGAGACACAGAAAGTAGAATGGGGTCTGTCAGGAGCTGGAGGAGGGGGAAAGAGGAGTTATTGTTTAATGAGTACAGAGTTTCTGTTTTGCAAGATAAAAAAGTTCCAGAGATCAGTTTCAAAACAATGTGAATGAATTTCCTTGCTACTGAATTACATGCTTAAAAATGGCTAAGCTGGTAGCTTTTCTGTTATATGTTTTTTTACCAAAATTTAAAGAGAACCCTGAACCACCCCTAGACGCCAGTGAGAGGGGCTGCTCCCTGGGACCTTGCTTTGGAGTGCGTGCTAAATCGATTCAGTAGTATCCAACTCTTCTCAACCCTATGGACAGTAGCCCACCAGGCTCACATTAATCAAACATTAAAATCTTCCTAGCTTGTTTAGGTCTCTAGAAATTTTTTTTGAGAGTTCAGTAACCAACTGACAAACAGGAACGAGAGAAGAGAACAAGAGCCAAATGCCACCCTGCCAGAGGTTGAGGGGCTGAGGGTGTGGGTGGGATTGGGGTGGGGGTGCAGGGCGGGGGTGGGGGGGTCACAGGGTGGGATTGGGGTGGAGGCGCAGGGTGGGGATGGGGGGTTGCAGGGTGGGATTGGGGTGGGAGCGCAGGGCGGGGATGGGGGGGTCGCAGGGTGGGATTGGGGTGGGGGCGCAGGGTGGGGATGGGGGGTCGCAGGGTGGGATTGGGGTGGGGGCACAGGGCGGGGATGGGGGGTCGCAGGGTGGGATTGGGGTGGGGGCACAGGGCGGGGATGGGGGGTCGCAGGGTGGGATTGGGGTGGGGGCACAGGGCGGGGATGGGGGGTCACAGGGTGGGATCGGGGTGGGGGCACAGGGTGGGGATGGGGGGTCACAGGGTGGGATTGGGGTGGAGGCGCAGGGTGGGGATGGGGGGGTCACAGGGTGGGATTGGGGTTGAGGCGCAGGGCGGGGATGGGGGGTCACAGGGTGGGATTGGGGTGGAGGCGCAGGGTGGGGATAGGGGGGTCGCAGGGTGGGAATTGGGGTGGGGGCGCAGGGTGGGGATGGGGTGGGGGACACAGGGCGGGTCTAGAATGGACAAGGGCGTGTGTGGCGAGGATGTTTCAGCCTGAGGACCTTGAGGACAGCAAGGCGCTCACGCCAGGCATCCCGCCCACAGGGCAGAACCTCAAGGGGGTAAAGGGGACGCTCCTGGAAAGGAGGGCGAGGGTCAGGAGGAAGGTGTGAGCACCGGGCTAAGGAGTGGCTGAGGGGAGCCCCTGTCGGCATGTTTAGCAAAGAAATGTTCACCCGTCTCTGAATGGAACCCAAAACCTAAGGCTCTAAGGAGTCACAGCTCTCAAACCCACGTGACCTCTGGCCTGCCCACAAAGCGGGGAGCCCCGCTGGCCCCACACACCTTCAGAGCCACACACACACACACACACACGCACACATACAGCCTCCCAGGAGCAGGCCGACTGCTCCCCTGCGCCCTTTTAATTAAGGGAAGTGGGCCAGGAGTTACACTCCTGCAACATCCCAAGCCTTGACATCTGTCCAGTGGGACCATGGACCCCAGGACCCAGCTGCTTGCACCAACCATGCCTGCCCGAGGCCGCGGGGTTCCTTCTGGGAACAACGCCGTCTGCTGGCCAGAGGAGGCTAAGGCGAGGAAAAAGACCGGCGGTGGCTATGGGTTTGTTCATTCCTCACTCACCCCCTTGTGGCTCAGCTGGTAAAGAATCCACCTGCAACGCGGGAGAACTGGTTCGATCCCTGGGTTGGGAAGATCCCCCGGAGAAGGGAAAGGCCACCCACTCCAGTATTCTGGCCTGCAGAATTCCATGGACTGTGTAGTCCATGGGGTCACAAAGAGTCGGACATGCATGAGCGACTTTCATTACTACTCACTCACTCCAGGGATACTTTAGGGGGCGCCTGCCTCTTGTCCAGCACCGGGCAGTGAACAAGGCAAGGCTGTCCCCGCCTTCAGGGAGCCCGTGCTTCCTAGTGGGGAACAGAGCTTCGTAATTCATCACAGACACGAAAACGTTATGTTGTTCTAACGGGAGCTGGCCCCCTACTACTGGGCAGCGAGCTGGTCTGTTCTAGGTGAGTCCTTGTCTCACTTAATCTCCTCAGTTACCCATCAAGAGCTGGGCAGCACCCTCAGCTCCTTCCTCTCCGTCACCCCCTCAAACCACTCGTCCACAGTCCTGTTGCTTCTGCTCCCAGTCCTCCCCAGCGCTCATTTCTCCCTCGCTCCCTCAACTCACCAGCACCCCCAGGATGCTCTCTCAGCCTCTCCAGCCCCCCCACTCCCCGTGTCTGCTCCCAGCCCCTCTAATCCAACGTCCAGACTGCAGGCAGTCCGTCTTTTGACCTGTCATTGTCCCACTGGACTTCTCAGTGGCTCCCACTGTCTTCCAGGTGAAGGTCAGACTTAACAAACGGCCCGTCAGATCCTGCAGCTTCAAGTTCCCTCCAGCCTTAGCGCATCTGTGCTGCAGGCCTCCCCTTCCACTGCGGCACAGTGAACACCTGGGAGCTAGCTCCAGGTGCAGGACATGGGCCCTGCCTTCCCCCCCCAGCTTAGCTGGGGAGCCAGCCCGGCCTTGGGCTCTGCGGCATGCACAAGGGATTTGAAAGACTCACGCCTGTACCTGCGGTGCTCAAAGACCCCTAAGAGGTTCCAGGTCATAACAGACCCCTGATAATGCTTCCTCCCATCTCCTTCCTTCCTCCTTCTCCCCAAACCGCTGCTGCTCAGGGTCCCTGTAACCCCTGAACCTCAGCTCTCTCCCCAGTGCTCCTGCCAGAGCCTGTAAGCCCTCCCCGGCCCTTCTCCCTCTCTCCTCCACTTCTGTCTCTCCTTCTTTCATCCTGTTCTTCATAATAAAAGCAGGGGACTCCCTGGAAAGGTCCCACTCTCCTTAGAGCACACGGCTGAGACAGACACCATGGGGCAAGGAGAGTCTCTCCAGCGAAGAGGAGGGAAGCTCACACAAATCTACTATGCCCCCTTCCACCACCTTCTACCAGCCTCCACCACCTTCTACCAGCCTCCACCACCTTCCACCAGCCTCCACCACCTTCCACCACCTTCCACCAGCCTCCACCAGCCTCCACCACCCTCTACCACCCCACCACCACCCTCCACCACCCTCCACAACCTTCCTGAACTCAAAACCCTCCGTTGTTCTTCCCAGCTCAGACTGGCCCTTCCCTGAGTCGTCCACAGGCAGGGTAAGTCCCCCTCCCTCACACTCCTCAGGTGGCCTACAGATTGTCCTGTGTCCCCAAGCTAAGGTCCTGAGCAGCACCCTGCTCCTCACCCCACTCCCAGCACTCCAGAACCTTAATTAGGGTGGATTCAATTGAAATGAACAAGTTAGCCAATCCAGTAGCATGAGAGCGGAGGAAAGTGTGGGCTCTGTGGTGTGTGTGTGTGAGAGAGAGAGAGAGAGAGAGAGAGAGACCTACTTTCGGGAAGGACGGTTGACACTGGAGGGTACCACCCTTCTTGTCCCCTCTTAAGACCCCACATTGGGATTGCATTTATATTTCTAAAGTGCAGCCCATTTATAGAACCTACTGATGGACAGCGGGTTGCCTTCGGAGAGAGACAGACCGCGTTTCCCAGCAAACAGAACAACATGCCCCCCCTCCCAAATCCTCACCACAGTGTGGCCTTAACACTCTTCCCACTGAGAGGTGGGGTCTACTTCACCTCTCTGGGGTCTCAGTTGGCATGTGACTCCTTCAACAGTACAATGAGGCAGAAAAGGCCCTAGGGCTGGGTCCTTAAAGGTCACTGGGCTTTCATCTTATTCTCTGAGACACCCACCTGGTCCCTTTGACCGGCCATGTAAGGCATCAAACTAGTTTGTGGCCCCCCTGGCTGGTAAGAAGCCAAACTATGTAGGGAGACCACAGATAGGTGGTCCAGCTCAAAATCCTAGTCTTCCAATCATCCCAGCTCAGACAGCAGATGAA